AATGGAGTGCTTTGCATACGTAAGAAGTTAGATTGGATATCCAATCAAAACTTACTGATACTGATACTGTATCATGTCACGAACCGGGATAAATTATTAGCCCTGATAAGCTATAACTGATTTTCGCATTTACAGTTTATACGTAACAAATTTCCTGTAATTTGATTGTCAACTTTCAATTAAAAAAAAGTTATATAAGGATCACTTCCCCTTTGCCAATTTCATTATACTTTTACTTTTTCACTTCTGTTTATATGTTTTTTTTGCTATTATATTTTTTGTAAATTATGTAAATTATCTCATTTTATAATTAGTTCTAAGGTTAAATATGGTCCGGTTATTATATTTTTATTTCCAACATTAAAAATTTCACACCTGCTATTATTACGTCCTTTTTTTAAACCACATAAAACAAATTGACAATGTAATCAATAAAGTGATCTGTAAAAATTATTATTAAAGGCGATGAAAGAACTATGAGGTAAATGTTTATTGTACTGTATATATATACTAATCTATACATTATTAATAAATAGTATATACGCACAATTGGCCGTCATTTATTTGTTGGAGGAAAAAATTAGACAACTCTGGAAATTTACAAAATTACTTTTAACAAATGAGGCCTAACGGTTTATTGAAAAAATTTTCAAACGATACATTTAAGTAAGAAATAATTACGAATTAGCAATAAAACAAGTAACGTAAACGAAAGAAGCCCGCGGTCATGATTCACTATCTTATTTGAGATATCTTATAAATCTCTTAACAAGAACATTTTATCGATCTTAACAATTTATATATAAAACTGAGAAGAATTAATTCAAAAAAAGATTTACAAAAGATATTATTTCTAAACGTCCAAATATTATTTTTAATTTAGACGAATTTCTTAAAAAAAAAAAATATGAAGAGATACTGTATAGGATGGGTTAAAATAATTATATGAATCCAATTAATTACGATGATAATAATGTACACATATTATTTTATTACTATATTATTATTGATAGACTGTTTACAGTCAACAGTTATGTCTATATTCACCGTGACAGCAACAAAGCTGGCTGCAAACTTTTTTTACAAAATGACCGGCAAACCTTTCGTTATTTTGTTTAAGGAAAATACGACATTAATTTTTCTGGCGCAACATAATTCAAATTTTCTAATAAAGGAGTTAAGTGAATCTCATAACTCTCTGAGCAGGGAGCTAGAATATGAATACGTGATTCTCAATAGGATGAATTTGGAACAATTTAATCGGATGCTGTATTTCAAAAACTGGAAAAAAGATCGATACAATATTTAGCGATAAGACAATGTAAACTTCATGTTTTTCTTACAATTATTCTAATTTTATAATTATCTATATATAATGTATATATATATTTTATTGAATAATAAAGTTTTTTTACAATAAATAAAGTAATATGATTGAAATATTTATAATTTGATTTTATTTTTATAGATTGTTTAATTAACTTCGATATAATCGACATTGTTTTATTATATCGTCAATCATACTATTGGTGTAAAACTTATATTAAAGCATAAATTAAAACTGATACGTATGAATTTTTATTTTATTAATAAAATTATGCGGCAAAACTTATGAAAATTTTCAATATTAAAATTTTTTAAATAAATTGGAATTTATAATTTATAATAATTTGTGCTACTCTCACCTTTTGTTAGTTATATATTCAGCAAAGCTGTCAATTGAATCTGCATACTTGAAATGAACTATATTTTAACCTTTATATTTAGAATTTGCTAACATCCTTTCCGAATGTATCAAAAGAATAGCGCTAAACTTTATATCAGAAAAGATTACAAAAAAAGTATTATTAATCATTTAATTTTTTTTTTTCTATTTGAATCGTATTTAATTTACTCTTATTTTTTTTATTGTTATATATTATAAAATAGAAAATATAGCAAAGAATGCTACAAATGTGGCAGCAAAGCTCACTACATAACAGTTGGTTATAACATCGTCCTTAACGTTCTCGAGAAATAAAAGTTTATTCATTATTATTATATATATATATAAATATTAATTTTTTTTTTTTTTAAAAGAAAAAAAAAAAAATATCGACAATTTTTATTTACAGGTTACAACGAATATTACGTCGTGAATTTTGAATATTTTAAAATTTACGTATATACAACATTTTATTACAAATGCATGTATACTTACAATAAACAATCAAAAAAAAAACAAAAAAAAACCGAATTATTAATATTAATAGACATATACTATTTAAAAAAAACTACCATAAATCAGATGCCCTTGGCCGATTTCTAGTTCGATTTATAGTAGACTGTGACGACGAATGATTAATCGTTTTCGATGAACTAGCCTGTGCTGTTGTTCTTTGAAAAGTAATTGATGGAACTGATGGATTTATCAAATCGATTTTATTTCTCGTTTCATCTGTTTTATTTTGTGTTTCATTATCTTTGTCACCATGTTTTTTCTTCTTTTTCTTATGTTTTTCTTCATCGTCACTTTCGTTCTTATGTGACCTTTTCTTCTTCTTTTTCTTTTTCTCAGTTTTATGTTTTTTCCGTGAATGTTTATGACTACTATCTTTACTGTCTTCATCTACATTATCTACATCAAATGAAATAGGTTTATGACTACTATCTTCATCTACATTATATGAAATGGGAGTTGGCGATCTATCTCTGTTCGTAACTTGAGGTTCCAAGTCACCAATTACTAGATTTGGAGGCTACATGGATAAATAAGAGGTTAATATGAGGATATTGAAAGTTTCAAAAAGTCTTCAAAATACTATATATAGGGAAACATACTTTTTTATGTTTTGGAGCATCCTCATCATCATCTTCTGAACCTGAATCACCAAAAATTGATTTAAATAATTCCATTGCAGGGCGTGTATACGGTTTTTTGTCATCCTCTTTTGTATCATCAGGTTGGTTAGATACTTCAAGTGCTTGTTCAGATTCGTTCCAATTTGTATCAGATGTAGAAGACTGAATACTACTAGATACAGTAGATACAGTAGATACAGTAGGTACAGTAGATACAGCCGATACAGCAGATACAGCAGATACAGCAGATACAGCGGTTGGTACAGTCGTACTAAATCCTGGAAAATTTTGCGCATCTTGCTTATTGAGAATGTCATTCATCGTCTCTCTGCTGAGTGCTTCTTTTTGACCCTTTTGAGTCCTACCAGAACTTGAACTTTGTGCATGTTCTGGATGTGGATTTGCTACATTAAACCTTTTACATAGAAGCTTACTTGGATAAAATACAGATTTTAATCTCGTAAGTGGACCAAACATATTCATTTTTGCAGCAGCTTCTGCTGTTGATTCAGAATCAAGTTGATCTGTATCTTTTTTTTTAACTGAAGGAATATCTGAATCATTTCCGGCACCGGCTCTTAGACCAGGAATAGGCTGCTTGAATTCTTCAGCAGGAGACGAACTACTGGTGAACCGAGATGCAATCATTTTTGACATTGGGCGAAATATTCTTGCTGCTTTAGAGAATTCATCTAGCTCCTTTGAGAACTCATCTGCAGTTAATTCCTATAAATAATAATAAGATAATTTTTATTAATTGATATATAGAATACGATTTGAATAATTTAACCTTTAACAAACCTCAGGTTTTCTTAATAATTCAGGAGCTATTAACTCAGCATGTACTTCCAAATATTTTTTATATCTAGCTTGTTTTTTCTTATTGTCTTCAAAAGGGATAAATCCTTTCAAAGCAGCCAAAGCGACATCCTTTTCTATCTTTGGAATTTTAATTTCAGGAGGTTTATTAACATTTTTGTCACCTGACGTATCAATCACTGGTCGAATTATACTATCTAGCCTTTCTTTATCCTTCCGAGACACATAATCAAATACCGAACGTGTAGGTGCATTTAAAGGTGTTTCACCCAGTAATGCGCCACGCTGTAATATGAAAATTCTGGTTATTAGTTCAATAAATAATTGAATATGGCGATGTATTCACACTATAATTAATAATTACCTGTTCTGCTACAATCGCCAATGTAGTCTGCTTTTGTTTTATATTCTTTTTACTCGTATCCTGGGTATATTGATTTTGAGAGTCAAATTCATGAACAGGAACGTATTCTGGTGGCAAATCCGGTGGACTGAACCTATAGTGACAAAATAATTCGTGAATAAAAATACTACCAAAAAAAAAGGTGTATAACTTATATTACACTAATTACCATTTGTCAATGGGAAGAGGTTTCCTGGCCAACATAAACCCTCGTAATGGTTGAGTCCCATCATTACATAATCTATTATCCTGGAATGATGACTAGTATAAAAAAAAATTTTTTTCTTTAATATTTTTATATATATTTACATATTTTTCTGAAGGATACCAAATAAATATCGAATACCTTTTTCATTTGAGATTCTGTAGACAGGTTTGACATTTTTGAATATTTCCTGTTTCCCATTATTATGATGTCATCATCATCCTCATCCATTAGTGAAGTATTAAAATCAGCCATTGATGTTCCTGTATACAAATCATCATCGTCATCATCGTCAAAAACACCGGTTCCCATCGCACCTAAAATTATGAAATTTATTAGCAATTATTATTAACCATTTAGAAGATATAATAGAAAAAAAAAATACCTCGTATAGGGAAAGAACTTTTCGGTTTATCTTTACGGAGATAACTTTCGCCTAAATAAGTTAATATTCTGGTAGTTTTGTTTTTGTAGCAAATTCCAGTTCAAAAATTATCTAAATAATAAATAAATATATATATTTGGTACCTTTACTAGTAGCTGATTGAAAAACAAACTCTGGAGCATTTTCGAATGGATTATATCCAAGACCATAATTGTTGGCTTTTTGTTCAAAACTTACGATAGAAGTATTTTTAGGAGCAAATAAAGTACTGGGTATCTGATCTTCATTGTCTTCATTGTCAATATCTTTAAATATTATGAATTTACTCATTAATAAATATTTTCTATGAATTGATTATAGACAACAAATTCAATAAAAAAAATTTTTTTAAATACCATCATAATCTCTTTTTTTTTTTTTAACACGAGGACCTATGCCTTGACCCTCTCTCCATCCCATAGACTTTAATAGGCGTATTCCTATAAAAATTAATATTATTTATAAAATATACAATTCCAAAAAAATGTAAGCAAAATTTTCAAAATATTATTCGTACCTACAGGTTCTTTACTCGGCAATACAAGATCATCGATGAGTTTATCAGGAAGTGCACCGAGAATACTAATATTAATCAAATTAGCATAATTGTATTCAGACAAAGTAATAACAAGAGAATTTTATACTTGCCTTCCGCTTGCATCCATGGAATTTGCCAGAGCACGTTTTTTTTCTAATTCACGCTCTGTCGAACCTAAAGAATCAAATTCTTCGGTAGCAACTAGTTTCTTACTTTGGCCAAGTTCCTAATGAAATAAACAGGTTAAAAAAAAATCAAAGAAAAACGATTAAAAAAATATATATATAAAATTGTTGCCCAAGTACCTCCAGATCTTCTTCGTCCATAAAATCTTCAGGCTTGAAAACCTGCCGTTCTGTTCTATTTTTGCGAGAAGACACAAAAGTAGAAGGAGTCCAACCTGAAAAGATAATCGAGTGTAAGTTAATAGCGTAAGTTAAATCACGACATTGCA